TGTAACCTCATTTCCTTGTGTTGAATATAATTTTAATCGAACGTGGAGAGACAATCATTCCCTTATCAGTTTCCACTCTCATACTGGAAGTATATGTTGCATATTTTACATAATATTTAGTTTTTAAACTATTAAAAAAGGTCGGAAATAGCCAAGTAACAAAAACTGTATCACTGACGACAAAACGCTAAAAACAAGTTTAGCAACGCAGATAGCCATTAACGCAACGACTGAGAAGTTTGCGACCACGTGGTTTTGGTACATTTTTAAAGCTCAGTTTGGCGTAAAGAAAACCTAAAAAGTCTTGAAAAGACAATGGCACATGTGGGTCGGAGGCGCCGCAATCTGTTTTTTTTTTTTTTTGTTAATTTAGCTTACTGATTAAAGATCATATTGGTGAAACCTCTTATGTATATTTGCCTTGCGCCATGCATACATCCTACATATGTATAATCAGAATCCATAACTAGGGAGAATTAAGAATAAAATCAAGAGAGGGTTGGAGAACCCAACCGAAATTGAGTAACGTCGCCTATCGATGGGGTCTTTGGGAGCATTTTACATATGCATATATGAGCACCAGTACAAAAACGCGTGCAGCAAGGTAAGCAGACGTTGGAAGAGTATGTAGTTTTCATATGCTATTGCAAACAAACATATGATGTACAAAGCCACCACCATTTACATACACACACAGGCACAACGAAACTATTAGAAGTGGTGCCAGAGCGCAATGAGAGGAAGCCAAAGAGGCTTTGGCAAGCACATGGTGCGCATGAATAGCGCAAACATGCTATCGCTTGAGTTTCATCATCCAATCGTGTGACCAGCTGTTGGAAGATGCATTTATATTAATTCCTGTGGATATTTTACAGCCTACGATGTAAACAAATGATAAAGATTGCGTATGAAACCACTGATATACTTATAGAACGGTGTCAAAACTCATTGCCACAAAAACTAATGTTTAACAACAATATAGCCTGCAGATATACATCTATGTATATAGCATGTACAACTACAGTCTACCTGGTCACTCTAAATGCGAGAATTTTCGTGGTTTACTTTGTGTTTGTGTGCCATGTGAAACAAGCGTTTCTCGGGAACACGAAATACATAGGCACAAGGGAAACAAAAAAAGTTCTTCTCGTCCCAAATAGAAAAGGAAACGAATGAAATATACAAATAAGCAAATAAATTTATGTTTTTTTGGAACACGAAAACTACTATCGAAAAATTTACCCCGTACAGATCCCAAACATTAGGAAAAAGATCTCTCTTGAATTCATAAAACAAGCATTTGAAGTATCTACTTATTTACTTATATCATCGAATACAAATTACAGCCGTAGCTATCCAAGAAGTCAAGTGGCAGAGGGATCGTGTAAACAAGAAGGTATTGCGCGGTTAGAAATAGCGAACACATGCTCGGTACCTAGAGAAGAATGAGACGCCGCCATTTTGTAGGCGCTTCATGTGAGCGGCGAAAAAATTAGCAAACCTTTTATAACAAGTCGGTTCATCGGCAAAATATGTTAGATATTTGCGAAAATTTTAAAGCATTTATTGTCAAACAGAAGTTGAAATTTTTCGTTTCATTGAAAAAAAAACGTGGTTTCTGCACCCCGTATCGCTTATGAATCATGATTTAATCGTCTCTACTGCGATGTTTTTTATACAACTCTTTAGTTTATTGTTTTACTTCCTACAAGGAAAAACAGCAACCAGGCTGATCACTACGTTTCAGAATGCGAGGTATTCACAAGAATTTGCTGTCTACCTGTGTCGGGCATGACATCGAGTACTGCATACACAAAAATCCATATATGTGTTTCTACATACACAATGCATCTTAAAGTATACATATGCATATACATAAATTAATCGTACATAGAAAACTTATATATTGGCACTTACCGGGATGACCCTCGCCCACTGATTCAGAGGTAAAAAGGAATGTCTGTCCATCTTCCATGTCATAGGAATCGGTTGTTCTTCCATTGCAGCCGTTGGAGTAACCGTTTGTAACAGCAGCTGATGATTGCGGCATGTTGTAGCTTTTTAGTTGCGTGTAGCGATTGTATAAGTGGAAATGCTGTTGAAGATTGACAAATGATGTACTGCTGCTTATTATTTTTGCAACTGTAAAGGGCAGTGAGAAACTAATTGATTTTTCGCAAATGAGGAAGCGTTTTTCTAGCGAAATGACGTTGGAGGCAGCGACAGCGACAGCAGGTTCAGTACGAGCACCAAAAGCGGATGTTAATTTAACCCTAATCTTCTGAAAATTTAATTTGCAAAATACACTCTGTCGTGCTCCGAAAGTTTTTATGTAACACAATATTTTGCGTGAATTCGCCTCGTATATTCCCAAATGCACACGGCGTTTGCACTCCGTAAATTCACTTAGCTGTTTCCTATATTTTTCTTATTTTCAATTGAACCTTTAATTGTGACAGATAGCCAGCCAGCTTACTTTTCGTCGGTCACACACACAATTCTCAACACAAAATACGAGCGATTCGGCCAGAAGCAGAAACACGTCCACACTTCTCGACGGTTGGGTAGAAAAAGAGCGAAGTCAATTAAGCACTCTCAGAATTTATACTACGAATAGCAGACCGCAAACCAATTCCACACCAGTTGGAGTGGCGGCGACGTCAACTATGTACATACATATGTTCGTTATCGCTCCTATTGCGAATATGGATAGCTGTTGGCGACGGTGTCGAGATGCAGGCGGCAAGTCTCGCCGGTGGAGGTTATAAAATATACATACCTAGGTAGTCAGCCTCAGTGATACTTATTCATCCACTTTGTTTTTATTCATGCTCTTCGTCGCCGTGCACTTTGTCGCCTTTCTTTTCCCAAAAAATACAAATAAAAAATTGCACAACAAAACTTTAGTGTTGATAAAATCGATTTAGCTCATATCGAAAGTCGATATATCCCCTAAGCCCTAAACAGATGCAACGCGTTTTTTCAGTACCTAATCAGAAAGTGTAAATTTTAGCTGCGTACGAGTTCGTTCTTATTAGGAGGCACTTCTTGTTATGTGAAAACTTGAAGTGAAAAGATTTTCCATAATTTAACACAAAAAGTGTTTACTTTGAAAGAAAAAAGGGCTGAGATTTCCATCACGCAACCAATAGTTATATAATTCAAAGTATACGGAATTTGTTTATTAACCTCGGAGGGAATTTTAATAGAGGTCTTCTTTAACTGAATTTATCACTTTCACAATGTTGCTAATATTCTAATATAGTCAAAGCGTTTGAAATACTTTAATAAACATTAATTAATCAGTAAATTAAGTACAACGCGTTTATAAATGCATTTACACATTTTGCCGCATTTCACAAGTAAAAAGAAATAACAATGGCCGACAGTAAGACCAAATGTCTGCTACTACACGTTTTAAAAGAAAATACACCACAAATAAGGGCACATAATCACGGTATCCACTTTTACTACTTGTATGTATGTTGAACGCTCTATTTTTAAAAAGCTTTTTTTTATAAAAATCGATGCTTCGATAATTAATGAAAATTTGTAATAAAAAAGTAAAAATTGCGGGATTTTTTATTACAAATTTTCACCTGCGCCGCTTTTTTTTATAAAAATTAGTACTTCGATAAATAATGAAAATTTATAATAAAAAACTAGCGTGTTTTTTATTAAAAATTTTCGTCTGTGGCGCTTTTTTATAAAAATCAACACTTCGATGAATAATGAATTTTTTTTTTACAAATTTTAGCTTGCGGCGCTTTTTTAAAAAGAAAACGATATTCGATAAATACTGAAAATTTTTAATAGAAAATGGCGCGATTTTTAATTACAAATTTTCGCCTGCGGCCCTTTTTCATAAAAATATATACCTCGATAAATCACTAAAATTTTTAATAAATAATCGCGGGATTTTAGACTGCGGCGCTTTTTTTTAATCAATACATCGATATATGATGAAAAAACGTATTATCTGCGTTTTTCTTGTTTCCCGTCTTCAGTGTTTTTCTTTTGGGCATTTGTTTGTGTGGCAGTACTGATATTTCAGTTCTGTTGGTCTACAAAGCAAAGTGAGGCTGAATTTTACATTTTTTGCAACTTTATATGCAAATTACCTAAAAACTATAAGCCTTCGGAGGGGGTTCGGTTTTAGAATCAGGGGGATCCGCTCTGCACCACTCATTTTTATTTATTTTTTTTCAAAGCCTGGTTCCGTATTGGAAAATTCTCCCGAGAAAAATTTGGCTTTTTTCCAAAAATTGTCATAATTAATTTTTTTTTAGTTTTTGTCGAAATATGTGTGTAAAAAAAATATATATGGATATATGTATAAATCAAAAGAAAGGTCTTTCGATTACCTTATTATTGAAAATTCCACTTTTACCCCGTGAAAATTCATTTACCCGGTAAATCTACGGAAGCTAGAAAAGAACGATTCCGGAAAAAAAGAACCTCATGATAAGGCTGATTATCTACAGTACTATTTTCTGGACGAATTCTGATTATTTCTGACAAATTCGTAATCATACGGGATCGCAACTTTTGTTAACCAAGAAAATTATGTGGTTATTGTAAGCAAAAATCAAAACCCCCTTTTAAAATAATTTTTTCTTTGAGGCAAAAAGGTAATAAAATTAACAGAAAACCCAATTGATGAAAAAATACGATATTTCAATAAAAGTAAAAGGGATATGTTCTGACAAGCTCTGAAAGACGAACGTGTTGAAATCGTTGGCAATTGAAAAATTCATTGACTGATTAAAATTAAAGTATATATACTTCATACGTATACGACGAAAGTGTAATTTTGAAATCCTACGATTTTAACCCATTATCTGGACGAAAAAGAATCCATCGTGGTCCGATGTTTTGAAATCTATCACTGAATGAAAAATGCTATCGCTGAATCCGAATTGTTGCGAACGAAGTATATTAGGAATAGCTTCGTAGTTGATTAAATGAAATTTACATTTCGTGTCGATCGAAAAATATAAACCATAAATAAAGTATTGCCAACCTTTCAAAAAAAAAAACGGTTTCACAAACTTTAAGCACTTCTTCACAATGCAGTTTTCACAATTTTCATTTATAAAATTTTGCACTGTAAAAGCCGTGAAAAGTCCTGTTTAATATGCAATATGCAAAATTTCATACACTCAGTTTACATAAATTTTTCACTGGTTCGGTTGAGAAAGACGTACATCATAGGATTGATCCTTAATATATTTTGTTTAAAAAAAGGCACAATGTTAAAAGATAAATCGTAGCTATGTGCTTATTTATGCGGGTAAGGATTAAAGAAAAATGTAGCATTTAAATTTACACATTTCAAAAATGTCAAAGGCCGCTGTCACTGATTCCTCCAACTTAAAATTTCATTCCTCTTATTTTTATTATATTATGTTTCGGATTTAGTTATTGATATCACTTTTACTTTCTTCTTCTTTTACGTTCTAAAAATCATAAATCATTTCTGATTGAATGAACTTACTCTGAGTTAGCTCAAAAACAGACTGAACCTTAATACCGGATTTGCTTTCATTTATATACATATACTTAAGTACTTTCCATATAT